TAGGCAGAGGGGGATAAGAGGACACCTTGAAGGGTATATATAATGAGGCTAAATGAGCATTGCAACCAAATCATGCCACCCACCTCAAAGACCCTATGAGGAACAGGTCCACAAAACCAGACAAGGTTAGGTCACATTACTGCCACATGGAAAGTCGCAGGGCGTTAGCCACTGATGGATGGCCCACCGGATCACCTGATGGTGACACGTGGTTTTTTTCCGTAACCACGAGCATGAGAACAGGAGTCAGGCCTGATTAAACCACAACTACCTCCTGAAAAATTGCGCAAAAGGGGGGGGGGGGGGGGAGGAAGGGGAGGAAGGGGCCGTGCTAGAAGCTAGGCACCATCAAGTCGTTGAGAAAGGCCAGTACAAATCAGGGAGTGATCTTGATCGGTATAAAGAAGCGCAGATATCCAGATACATCCGGAAGCTCTTCGTATTTTTCCGGCAAAGGGGGTAACCCCTGACATTATTCAACCCATCAAGATTTGAACTCAGATCTGTTCATTTGGCCACCAATGCCCCCGCCAGGCTCGGTGCACATTGCGGGCATGTTCGGTCCAGATTCAGGGCAGCTTCGGGCCAGATTCAGGGCAGATTCGGGGCAGATTCACGGCTGTGTTAGGGGCAGATTTGGGGCAGGTTCGGCGCAGATTAGAAAAAAAACTGGCTAACGAGATAGGAAACAGGAGAGCACAGGGAACAGAAGAGCCCGAACGTGGACGCTCTTCTGGCCAGGCTCGGAGCAGGTTAGGAGAAACGGGCTAAGTAGAGACAGGGAACAGGAGAGCACAAGGAACAGAACAGCCCCAAAGTGGATGCTCTCTGGCCAGGTTCAGGGCAGGTTTGGGGCAGGGTCGGGGAAGGTTCGGGGACGGTTCGGGGAAGGCTCGGGGCAGGTGCGGGGCAGGTGCGGGGCAGGTGCGGGGCAGGTTCGGGGAAGGTTCGGGGAAGGTTCAAAGCAGGTTAAGAGAAATGGGCTAAGGCGATAGGGAGAGAAGAGGAGGGCTTAGGGAACGGAAGAACCCTTACAGTGGATGCTCTCTGGGCACATGTCATGCTATAAGGTATTTGTGGTGCTATATCCGATCTCACAAGGGGAAAAAAAAAAAAAAAAAAAAAAGGATTCTCGTCGCTAACACTCGCTCGATTCATTTTAACTTCGTCAAACCACGCTATATCTGTGCCCAGAACAAAGGAATTTGATTAGAAAAACTGGCTCCGTTCATCCTCACTCGGTGAAACTACATGGGGTACATTGAATTAGCTCACAGGCAAGACAGTAGTGGGACCGGCCCAAAAAACATACCTTCATCTCCATGCCACGAAGTTGTTAACGATGGCCCCTGCGCAAGGGATGGCACGCATAAATCGAGAAATGGTCCAAATTTAAAAAAAGGGAATTAAAAACTTTAATAAATAATAGATAGAAGACGGCTACCAGAAGATTACAGGTGAGAGCATTCACAGTGCCACGTCAGAGTTATCCACACAGTGCCACGTCAGACTTATCCACACAGTGACACGTCAGAGTTATCCACACAGTGACACGTCAGATTTACCTCCCATGGCGACTCTTTCTGTGCATGCATGGTGTCCAGCGCTGACACACCAAAAGCTCACACATCAGATCCGCCATGGAACCTTTTTTTTTTCCTTTTTTTTTTTCAGAGATATTTACTCATCCGAGTTGATTGGGATCTGAACTGAGGTCTGTATTCCAACAGTTCGTGGGCATACCAGCTGAGCTAGGGCCAGTTGGTGTGAAATGGCCTTTTTTTTTTTTTTTTTTTTTTTTTTGAAATGGTCTTTTGGTGTATAAGGTCAGCATGTCAATCTGACACGTCAGATCTATCCATATGATCTACACGTCAGATTTATTGACATGAACTACACATCACTTTTATCCACATGAGCCTTTTTGTTTGTTAAGAAAGGCTAATTCTTTTAAGCCCAACCAACTCAATTCTTTTAAGCCCAACCAATTCAATTCTTTTAAGCCCAACCAATTCACTTCTTTTAAGCCCAACCACTGCAATTCACATGGTCCTTCGGGACATCCGTTAAAATTGGAATGATACAGAGAAGATTAGCATGGCCCCCTGCCCAAAGGATGACACGCAGAAGTTCACGTCAAATGAACTTTTGGTGTGCGAGGCTATGTTACCAGAGTGGCCCGTGACCACTTGCCCCCACAGGCCAGAAATGAATTAAAAAATAAAAATTTTGACAAAATGGTTTTGCTTTTTTTTTTTGGGGG